TAATGGGAATTATTGCCACACGATATGCTGGTTTTCCAAGCAACATCAGATGGCTGTCCTATGAGTCACTTCCGTTCTGACACTGTCCCCCTGGAGTTAGTGTCAGATCCCATAGGTTAAGTGCTCAGTCCCATAAGGACTGCACTTGGACGCCAATTCAAGTTCCAAGCTGTCACCTGTACAGACGGTTCCTGACTTAAGATGGTTCGATTTAGAATTTTTTGACTTGACGATGGTGTGGAAGTAGTATATCTTCACTAGAAACTATATTTCAGATTTTGAATTTTGATCTTCTCCCAGGCTATGATATGTGGTATGATCTCTTGTCACACTGGTCCTTCTCCCCTTCCTAAAGGATAGGAAGTGGGGTGGAAAGTTCCGAGCTTCTAACAATGGTTGGGTCTTTCTGGCGACCAGCCTCCATCTTGAAGCTATCCAGGATCCCACCCAGAGTTGCCTCATTAGAACAAAAGGCATGCAAAGGATCTTGGAAATTCCAAGGGATTTAGGAGCTCTGTGTCATGAATCAAGGTCAAACCAAATATTGGAACAAAAGATCTCCCAATGTTCTTATCACTTAGGAAATTACAAGGATCTTAGGAGCCCTACGCCAGGAACCTAGGGCAGATATATATTATAATTATATATATATATAATTTTTTGTATTATTTCACAACAACCAACAGAGCACACACCAAGCAGAGAGGTGGGTACCTTGCCTAGTATTCCACAAGACCCACGCATGGATGTATGCTACAGTGATGTTCTGTCATTCTGCTCTATCAAAATAGCTAATAGCTCCGTTCCCTAAAAAAGAAAGAAAGAACCAAAGAAAGCTTTGCATTATTAAGAACTTTATTTTATATTTTATTCATTTTTTAAAGATTTTGTTTATTTACTTGAGAGAGAGCAAGCGAAAGAGAGAGCATGAGCAGCAGGGAGGGGCAGAGGGAGAGGCAGAATCCCCACTGAGCAGAGAGTCCGATGCGGGGCTTGATCCCAGGACCCCAGGACCATGACCTGAGCTGAAGGCAGATGCTTAACCAATTGAGCCACCCACGTGCCCCAAGAACTCCATTTTAAAAGCATTGGTTTTACTAGTAGATTTTTACAAACTAAAATAATAAATGGTTGGTTAGAACAGACCAAAAACAAGCAACAAAACTTAGCATTACTGAGCATATCTTGAACATAAATCCAGTCCTAAGATATCTCATTTCTAAGCCTTTGATACAAATTGCAGTATTGTCTAATTAGCACCAACAGTCAACCAAAGAGCAAGAGAACAACGGAGAAGCCGTCCTCTTGAGTGGGAGGAGCTCTGCAAATGCTGTAGCCTTTATTTTATTCACATGGTACTCGTTCTAGATTGTGAGTGCATTACAGCCAACAGCCATGTGGAGGTAGTAGAGTGCACTGGTTATGGCTCCAGAGCCAAAAACTCTGCTCTAATCCCAGAGCTTTTACTTAGTAGCCATGTGACCTGGCAAATCACTCCAAGTCTCAATTTTCTTATCTATAAAATAGTATCTCCGCAAGGGTTGGAATTAAAGGATAATAAATATAAATGACTTAGCCTGATTCTGCAGCAGAGTAAAAAGGAGCTTCATAAGCATTACTTAGATATTGTTGCTTCTAATGCACACCTCAACTTTCTTAAATAAATGGTTGCCTAATAACTAAATCTCATTGTGATAAATCTTGCAGAAGAGGATATGCTTACACTCATGTATACAATTTTCTGTGAATGGACATACACACGCCTACATTTTTAAAGATAACCAGTCTATGCATATGTATGAAATATCTCTGAAAGGCTACACTTTGGTGAGGACAAATAGGGAGTTGGGGCAAAGGTGGGAGGAAGATTACTTTTCCCTCTATATCCTTCTGAACCTTTCAAATATGAAAGAGCACATTTAAAAATATGCAAACAAAGTAAGAGGCAAGCACTAAAGACATGAACAGACAAAAGAAGTTCCAGTAGCTAATAAACCATAAAAGGAGAATCCATTTTTCAACAGTTAGCTGAGTTTAAAAAAAAAAAAAAATTGTAATTGCGAGTATTACATGTTGACCATAGATATTGTCATGCTCTATTCATGAGAGTGTAAATTGGAAAAACAATTCCAGAGAGCAATTTGTTAGTGTCCTATCAAGTCACGCATACCCCGTAGGCCAGCAATACCACTTCTCAGCCTCCCTCCTACAGAAACCCTTACTCATGTGATTGAGAATATGTATGTGCAAGGATGGGCATTGCAGCATTGTTGGTAAGAGCAAAAAACTGGAAGCAAATTCAACATCTCCCGATAAGGGAATGTTTAGAAATTCTATGGTACATGCATAGCAATGTCTGTCTGCATTGACATCAAAAGATCTTTAAGACATATTAAGTGAAAAAAGAAAAGTGGAAAATAATATAGTATGCTACTATTTATATAAAAGTTTTAAGCTTATAAAACTTGTTCTGTTGGTGTGTGTGTGTGTGAATAGATGGTCTAGGAGAACTTTAAACATTTATAGAGGTTTCTTCTGGGGAAAAGAATGACCCAATACCGCAGCAAGCCCTTTGTGAGAATTTGTTAAAAGCTCTCTTTCATCGGGACACTTTATGGCCATCTGCTGCGAAACTATCATTTAAAATATATGAAAACTTGGGGCGCCTGGGTGGCTCAGTTGGTTAAGCGACTGCCTTCGGCTCAGGTCATGATCCTGGAGTCCCTGGATCGAGTCCCGCATCGGGCTTCCTGCTCGGCGGGGAGTCTGCTTCTCCCTTTGACCCTCCTCTCTCTCATTCTCTCTCTCTCAAATAAATAAATAAAATCTTTAAAAAAATAAAAAATAAAAATAAAATAAAATATATGAAAACTTACTACCCCGTGAAGAGTGCCCCCCAGGGTTGTTCGAGGGTACAACCACACAATCCTGCTCTGTGGCCCTAGAGGACATGCCCTTTATGTGTAACAACTGAACTTTTTTGCAGTGAGAGGAGATCAAGTTTCATTCTGAGTTCTATACAAAATAAGTGAACAGTTAACCTGGCCACATGGATAAACATCAGGTAGTGTTCAATGTGTTAAAATTTAGCATGTAACACATTTCAGTGTGTGAAGGCAACTAAGTGGCGATGTGGTGAGGTGTGTGGTTTATGTCATTGCCAACATCAGAGACTTACTGCTTCCAGGGCGCCTGGGTGGCCCAGTCAGTTAAGCGTCTGCCTTCGGCTCAGGTCGTGATCTTAGGGTCCTGGGATAGAGCCCCCACGTTGGGCTACCTGCTCAGAGGGGAGTCTGCTTCTCCCTTTCCCTCTGACCCTACCCCTCGCTTGTGCTCACACACACACACAGACACACACACTCTCTCTCTTTTTCTCTCTCTCAAATAAATAAATAAAATCTTAAAAAAAAAGAGAGAGAGAGAGACTTAATGCTTCCAAGTACAGGGAGGATTTGAGCAAGCGGCAACTTTGGGTATCAGACCAGACAAATTAATTACCTCTCAAATCCTTCCTTTTAGATGATAGGAATGTAATAAATCTTGCATAACAGGGCGCCTGGGTGGCTCAGCTGGTTGAGCGACTGCCTTCGGCTCAGGTCATGATCCTGGAGTCCCTGGATAGAGTCCTGCATCGGGCTCCCCGCTCGGCGGGGAGTCTGCTTCTCCCTGTGACCTTCCCCCCTCTCATGTGCTCTCACTCTCTCAAATAATTGAATAAATAAAATCTTTAAATAAATAAATAAATAAATAAATAAATAAATAAATCTTGCATAACAAGTTATCATTTCTCAGTAGCACCAGGTATCCATTTTCTTGCTTCTCTTTATATTTCAAACCATGTTTTGGAGACGCCAGGAATTGGTGCAGTACTTGCAGCAACTGCTCATGGCAGCTTAGAGTGTTTTTGCAATATTAAGCAATTCGAATTGCTATGTGGGTTTAGATAAACAAGGGTAAAATGTGATATTGATTATTTAGAGTAGCAATTAAATTGGCATTGAGCATTAAAATTGTGAAGAATTTTGTTTGTATGAAAATATTAAATAATATTTCATTATTTTTCTAAAAAAATCAAATAAAAAAGTATCATTGTATTTAAATAATTTAATTAACAAATTTTATGTTTAGTAAGTATACTTTATTTTTGCTTTTTTGGTTTCTCATGTGTGTTTTTTGCTTTGGGGTGGTTTTTTTTGTTTTTTGGGGATTTTTTTGCCCATGGTTCTGTGGGTCAGGAATTCAGGTAGGACATAGCTAGGTGGCCCTTGCTCCATGTGTGTTGCCTGGGGCCATTCACTTGGTTGTATTTGGCTGATGACTTGGCTGCCCTCTCTGACATGTCAGTCTCAAGTTACTTAGCCTCTCTAGGCTGGTTCCTTTTCTTCCTATCTCAGATCTCCCTGTCGCCAGCAGTCCATGTGTGGCCCAGGAGAGTCTGCTTGGGCCCATTTCCAGGAGAAACCATGGAGTCTCCCAGGCAGAAGTGTCTTTGATGTACGACAGGCAGGGCATAAGGCAGTCAACGTGCATCTCTGCAGCCAGGACCCGTCTGCCCATCTACAGGGAGCTCAGCTTTGCAACCTGTGGTGGGCATCTCTGGCCACTCCTGCCACTGATTCCACCAGCTTCTCAGGGTCTATTTTTGCTTTTTAATTTTAACAGGGGATAGTGAATGTTTTGGAAGGAAAAAGAACTTTTGGAAAACACCTGAAACTTTCTATTCAAATTGTGGTCATTTTGACTATAATTACATTTTTGTTTGTTTGTTTGGTTTTTGTTTTTTTGTTTTGTTTTTGTTTTTTTCTTTTTTCTTTATTTTTTTGACTATAGTTCCATCTTATTTTTCATTCTTTAGATCGTTACTGTCAAGAGAAGGCAAATTACGTGAAAAATCTTCATTATAGTAATAAAATTAATGATTTAGCCAAAATAAAGAAAAATAACTTTATGGGATAAATGTGTAATAATTTATGAATTGTGAATGTTTATTTCATCCCTCATACAAACATCACCATTCCATCAACAGAACACCAGACATGCCCAATAATAATTAAATTTAGTCATCTTGGATATTTTATCAAACGTCAATCACATAAAAACATGACTATGAACATATTTTTCAATTTTGACACTATAAAGGTAGATCTGTCAAAGTAGAAGAATTGTATTTCATTTAACAGTTTGTCAGCTTGACTTATAACTTGTAAGTATTTAGACATACACTATGTATATCTCCATTATACACTTGGCCTGGGACCTATGAATGTTAAGGGCACATTTATGAAAAAATATATATATTTACATTGTATGTATGTAAAATATACATAAAATGCATAATCAAATTAACATCACACCATATAGAAATATTATTTCAAGATGCATCATAGACCTAAATGTCAAAGGTAAAACTATTAAGCTTGATGATGATTAAGCTAGATGAACATTTAGGATACTATTTGTTGGACCTAAAACAAGACATAAAAAAGCACTAATATCAAGACCAATTGACAAATTGGACAAATTTAAAATTAAGAAGTTCTGTTCATTTATTTATTTAAATAAATAAAAATAATTTTAAAAAAGCAGAATGAAGATGAGAGAAAAAGAGGAAAACAAAAATCCAATCTCTAGTTACAAGTTTTATTGCGATTTGAGATAAATTTCACATCATTAAAAGAAGTCTGGATTCGAGAAATAAGACTGTTTTAGGGAGGGGCGCCTGGGTGACTCAGTCGGTTAAGCGACTGCCTTCGGCTCAGGTCATGATCCTGGAGTCGCTGGATCGAGTCCCGCATCGGGCTCCCTGCTCAGTGGGGAGTCTGCTTCTCCCTCTGACCCTCCCTCCTCTCATGTACTCCCTCTCTCTCATTCTCTCTCTCTCAAATAAAAATAAATAAAATCTTTAAAAAAAAAAAAAAGACTGTTTTAGGGAAAGATCTTTTTCCTAAAAAAAAAAACCCCAAAAAACAAAAAAAAGAAGTTCTGTTCATCAAAGGACACCACTAAAAGAGTTGGAAAAATTAACCAGAATAGAAGATAGTTGAATATGTGAAATCTAGCAAAGAACTTATATCCAGAATATATAAACAACCCCTTAAAATCAATTTTTTAAAAACCAGACAGCCCAGTAGGAAAATAGACAAAGTCTTGAACTTCCCAGAAGATGATATTCAAATACACAACTAACATATACACATATAACAAAGTGTTCAGCCTCATAAGTTTTCAGAGGAATATACACCAAAACTACCAACCAGAATAAGACTAAAAATACTAAATTTTGCTGAGGATGAAGAGCAACTGCAATTCTCATGATCCATTTTGGAAAATCCTTCGGCATAAGGTAGTAAAACTGAACATATACATACCATATGGCTTAGTAAATGCACTCCTGGCTATATGCTCAACACAAATGCACATCTATGTTCACTAAATATGAATAGGAATGCTCAGAGCAACACTATTCATAATACCCCCAAACTGTCAACAACCAAATGACCATCAACATCAGGAAAGGTAAATTGCAGTGTATTCATACGATACTGACAGCGAATGCACCTATTGCCATGCACAACGATGTGGATGACTCGTACAGCATAATGTTCCATGAAAGAAGCCAACTACAAATGAGCATATAAAAATCAGTCAAAAGTCATCTGCAGCATTATTAGCCATAGCAGTGACCAGAAAGGACATGACATAATCGTCTATTTCTTGATCTGGCTAGTGTTCACACAGGTGCAGATGCAGAATGGACGAATACAGGGAGACGCGGTGTCTAATGTGACCCCCCCACACACATTTTGCGGCTTAGCCCTGCCCAGCCGAGACTATTTCATATAATCTCCCTCCTGTAAACTCTTTATACTCCCTATAAAGTTTCTTCCTAGGATCCCCTCTTGGGAATGGGAGACTGCTGGCTCCTAGTGAAGCGCTTTGGTAATTCTCTAGGACTAGATCCGCAGGGAGGACCACATGCCACACCGTGCCGCCCTGTGTGGGATGTCCTCCCCTTGTATCGCATCGCATCCCAGAAACACCGCTGAAGTTGAGTCTCTGGTTTTGCTGGACCTGCAGTGGTCCCAGCCTCTCCTTCATGAGAGTCTGTTTTCATTACTTCAGTGTTTGGCAGTTTTCTTTCACTGCCTCTCAAGTGTTCCGCTAAGCATCACTGGAAGATACAGATGGAGTTTCAAGAATCTCCCTGCTCAGCGTTTACATAAGCATGAACTGCAACAATAAGAACTTGAGCAATAGGACTTCCATGAAGGTCTTCATTCACCACAAGTAGAATTTTCCCTAGGCCAACATAGCCTGGCTTTAAAACAGCCCCGTGAAGCATGCTGGAGTCAAAAATGAATGATTTTATTTGGCTGAATCCCTCAAAGGGGAATAAATGGCTTCTGTGAGCAAATGTTCTGCAATCCCAACTAGACGTGACTGTTGCATTAATTCCTGCAGTGAGGCATTTTTTTCTCATTGAATATATGCTGTATGCAGCTTCCTGGATGCCACCAAGCCACCCTGCCCTCTTGACCTGGAGACACAAATGATAACCTACCACAGATCATGGTGGCATCACTATCATTATTACTGAAGGCAGAAGCAAGAACAGCATCCTGGAGGAGATCGAAAGGAAAAGAATGTAGGATGGAGCAAGGCTCAGGGATAGGATGGGTTAGAGGGTAGCGTATTTCATGTATAGGACTCACTCCTTTTTTAAAAAGAAAGCTCAAATTTAATGGTTGGTTATTTTGTCTGTGTGAAAGTATGTTATGTCAAAACATCAGCTTCAACAAGTTTGCGTCAAGATAATTAGGTCAACAAGGTCACATACTATAATAAGAACTGATTCTTTTTTTTTTTTTTCTAATATATTCTGATAACTTTTAAGTCTTACACCTTCCTCTTCCCCTTGCATCCCACGTCTTGGCAAGCTGATAAGAAAGTGTGGTGCTCCCCCCTTCGGCACCAGCAGGAAGTTCAAACACACACCAGGACTCCTTACCTGGACTTACCCCAAACATAATAAAAATACCCTCAAGCCAGTCTCTTTTCCCTGCTCTCTCAAACTATTTTGAGACCTGCGTGGGAGACACCCTACTCTCCCCGGTGAGTAGTAAACCTTTTCATACCCTTTCTGGGGTATGTGTGCCATAATCAGTCTCAACATCCCAACCAATGCTTAGGTAATTAATTTGGACAGATGTGCTACAGATGCACTAGGATTTAAAATAACCACGGATGAAGACCCCCAAATGAGCTCCATCTGTAAGTCTAAAAAATGGTACACCTACGTTAATGCCCAAATCATAACGCTGAGTTGTCACCTACTTGACAGCAGAGCTTCAGCTTCTGTCTTCCCAGACCCCACCCCTCCTTGTCTTTGGAAGCCCCCAAACAGGCCCTCATGTGCTACTTACACACCTGCCAATCTTCATCTCCACCGGGAATCACCAGTTCTTCCTCTCCTGCTCCAACACTCACACGCTGCTGTCCCCTTGCCATGAGGTTCCTTCAAGGAAGTCCCCATTCATTGCTGTGGTAGAGGCAAACTGAAGAGAAGCTTCGTCTCTTCTCATGCGAGCTTCCGCCCCGACCCAGCCCAGATGGTCTCCATGTTGCTCTCCAGCTCATGAGACAGATGACCCCAACCAAATCCACCTGCTGCTACGTCACTGCATGGGTGAAGCCCCTTCCTCACTACAGGCAGGCCTGGAGGAGCATTTCAGGAACTCAGACAACGGGACAGCTTCAGAATGGTTTCCTGCGAGCTTCCCCCCAACATGGTTTCCTCTCCATACCCTGGCTGGCACTATCGCTACTCGACAGACCTTCCCCCAGCAGCACCTGGTCTCTGTCTCCATGGCGACCGGCAGGCCTGAAGGAGCACACTCACCAGCTTCCCTCCAGAGGACAAAATTAGGGTGCTCACACATAAGCTTACTACGGAAACAAAGACAATTGGCTCAATCAGAAAATGGAGTAAATGGAGGAGCAACTCATCTGAACAATGACCAAGATGAAGTTAACAAAAGTAAGAGAAAATTATATAAGGATGGAAGGAAGTTCGTGATATAATATCTAGTGAAAAAAGACAGGTTATAAAAGGTATGTAAATTATACTTTCATGTTTGTTTTCTTAAAGGAGGCACATATAGGTAAGTATAAAGTGGCAACCGCTAACTTGTTTCTTCAAGAAATGACCCATTTCTATATTTTGTTTATGAAAATAAATTGGACTCTAAATTCTACTGGTCAGTGGGAAAGTCTATTTCAGGCATCACGTCGCGTATTGCCCTTCCCCACAAGCCAATACCTGCCTCCATGACAGGCTAAAAAGGAAGCAGAGGTCTTACTCAGAGCTAAATATTTAAAGAAGCTTCAGGTCTTCGGTCTCCGCTGTTGTCACCAAGATGCCCATTGTCCAAACTCTTGTGGTCCTGTAATGTTACCTCCATGCCATGGGAATTTGATGAAGCTCTCTGGAAAAGGCATTGTATGTGCTTAGGATGTTAAAAGAGACAAATAAAGAAACAATATCCACTAAAGGGAAAAAATTATAAATCCAAAATAGGCAGAAGAGAAACAAGAACAATTAGATATACAAAAGTACCAACTGAAACTCTTAGGAAGGAAAACCATAGTCAGTGAAGTTTAAAACTCAACATATGGGGCACCTGGGTGGCTCAGTTGTTAAGCGTCTGCCTTCAGCTCAGGTCATGATCCCAGGGTCCTGGGATTGAGCCCCGCATTGGGCCCCCTGCTCGGCAGGGAGCCTGTTTCTCCCTCTCCCTCTGCTGCTCCCCCTGCTTGTGCTCTCTCGCTCTCTCTGTCAAATAAATAAAATCTTTAAAAATAAATAAATAAATAAAACTCAACATATGAGATAAACTCTAGGCTGACACAGGTGAAGAGAGAATTACTACACTGGAAACATAATTGCAGCATTTGCCCAGAATGCAACCCAGAGACAGGTAAGAGATGTGGATAATAGGTCAAAAGACTCCAAAACACATACAAGTGCTGTTCCAGAAGAAGTCACCGGATTGAATGGTAGAGAAGCAATGTTTCAGGTGATGGCAACTGGAAATTATCCAGCATTGATGAAAGGCATGATTCTTCAGATAGAAATTGTACTTTAAAATACAAGAAGGAAAGATAAAACTAAACCTACACTTAGACTTATAAAAAGCAATACCGCAGAACATCAAGGGTAAAAGAAAATCTATGAAGCTTCCAGAGAGAAGAAGCAGATTGCAGGAATGATCTATAATGGCCGTAGGCTTCTCAGCAGCAGCAACAGGTACCGGAAATGCTTAGGGAAAACAGCCGACAACCTCAACATTTTTATTCAGCTAAGCTGTCACTCAAGAATGAAGTCAAAATTTGAGGTACACAAAGATTGAGAGAATTTACTCCCCCAAAACAAAAATATCAGGGCTCCTGAGGCAACCCCAGGAGGTCCACGGTGAGATCAGGTGTTGCTGAGAAAGTGCACTGGTTCTGAAAACAGTTGCCATAAATCAGTGTCCCAGGGGCCAGCATTCTTGTACACCATCTTACTTAGTCCTCTAACACCCTTGCCAAGCGAATGGTCAAAGTACATGAATGTCAAAGATGGGGAAATATCAGTATTCCCTGTTATATATTCCTTTGCCTCTGTAATAACTCCTTTGCTTGACATCTTACGAGAATAAAGTGTTACACATTTTCCAGATGAGATGGAATCAGGAAGAATAACACCCCTCTCAACTAGAGGATTCTGGCCAGCACAGTTGTCTGCAACAAAGCTCCATGGTTACTATAAGGGATGTACAAGCCTCATTACTAAAACCCAACACCTCACAGGTAGGAGACCCTTAACACTCAGTTGGACCCCTTTTCCTTTTATTAACTGCAATTCTTGAGTAAACGGTAGCCCAGAAGACAGAAGGGCAGGAAATGTTAGAGGTAGACATGACGACACCAGAAAGGAGAGAGAAAAACATTTTAAAAGCAAGTCTGCAAAGATGCCTGAAGTTCCAACACCACCACAAGGCTGATGTCCACCATCCCCAGCAGCCTGTGAGCTTCCTGAGGGCCTTGACTGTGCCTGTATGCGGTAGACCTCTGTAGTTCCAGACCCAGTGCCTGACACACAGGCAGTAGGTCCTCAATAAATAGTCGCTAGGATAAAAGGGCGAGGGGGATAAAAGGAGGAAAAGAAAGAAAGGAAGCATGCTGAAGAAAACACTGAAGAAACCCAAGAAAATCCCAGTTGGCTGATCCTAAGGTACATTGACTATATTTTCTTATTTTCTGTATTCTTGATCCTGGAGAGACTGCCCCCCCACCCAGGGTAGCTAATTCCTAGAGATAGCAAATGACTCCCTTGCAAGCCTGCCTTTGATATATAAACCAACTAAGCCAGAGCCCACACACTCAACCATCTCCTTTATCAAACTCTCCCATACCAAGCCGCATTCCTCTTGCCCTAAACCACCCCAGGACCAGGTACTGGACAACTAGAGACCACCCCTAGAGCCCAGAGTCTGCCCAAATTATTCAAACCATCTGATCCTAAGCTGACTCAGTGTACCTACCCTTCCTTGGTGGATCCTTCCCAAGAGAGCTCCAATAAAGTTTCTGGGCCATGTGCTGCCCTCTCCCGCTCTTCCACCTCCTGACCATCCTTGGTCCTTCCCCATGTGGCCCTCCATGGCATGGTGTGCCTCCTGTTTCTAGGGATCTGTGAGTATAAACTTCTTCTTTCCTGACAGGCATGCCCATGTCTGCTGTCTTACCACACCTGATTAAAACAAATCCGGCTACATTTTTAACACATCAGGGTAGGCTTTTTTCCATAGAAATATATCTCCAGCTAAATAACAGAATTGTGTGGAGAAGACAGGCAGGATCTATATATTTCCCCCCTATTATCTATTCCATAAAGCAAAGGGTACCTTGCCAAAAAAAAAAAATCCACAAATTTTATAAGACGAGAACAAACAGCCCATATCTTTTGCATCCAGCCAATGATCCATATGAGTCATTAAAGGAGAGTGTCTCTTCTTTTCTCCCTCAGGTATACCTTGGTCAAGCCCTAAAGAAATTATAGCTTGACCCTGGAATTTTATTTTATCTTCTGGAATTAAAAAAAAACAACAACACTTCACTATCCAGCAAGCCTGTTGCAGTTTCCAGTTGGGAGAAAATGAAATTAACAATAGAAATGTTCATTCCTTTTGTAAAGCAATACAAGGAGCATTTAATTGTATGAGACAGCAATGAGACAAAGTTAATCACAGTTTGTACTGTTCCAGTAGCTCATTTGGAATATTTCTCTTTCTTCAGTCTCACGGTGATTCAGTTTCCTGGAAATGAGTGTGGACCAGATGAAGCCAGTCACAGGCTGCCTAGAATATTTTTCCTATGGAGACATTAATATACTTCGGCTATATATCAATATCCTCGTTATCAAACATCACCTCCCTACCTACTTATTTTTAAAACAATATTGAAATGTCTTTCTCTGTTTTCCACAATTCCCTCTCTGTAAGAAAGGCCATCAGAATAAACCCAGAACCATAGATGATCATAACCCTCTCATTTGCCCCTGCTTTGGTTCCTACTTATCTTCTTAAAGTTCATTCATTCATTCAACAGGTAGTTATCGAGGCCCTACTATGTGTCAATCCACAAGCTAGTTTGTTCACTAGATATTGTCCCTTTTCTCATGGAGCTAACAATCTAATAAGAGAGATGAATGTTAATCTAATAAACACAAAAACTAATTAAGTATAACCTGTGCTAAGTGCTGTGAAGTTAAAGTACTAAATGTTCCAAACCAAGAGAACTGACCTGGAGGAATCACAGAAGTTTTCACTGAGAAAATGGAATTTGACACAAAATCTAGAAGGATAGGGAAAGAGTTCAGGAGATTGTTCCAAGTGTTTGGAATAGCATACGCAAAGGCCCTATGGCTGAAGCACAGGGCTGGGAATGACAACAGGAGATGAAGCTGCAAAACTGCACAGATACGTAGCCAGGCTAGGGATTTGGGGTCAAATCCTAAAACATCATAAGGCCAGTAAGGGGTTTTAGATAGGACAGAAATACTATCAGCTTTCTATTTTGAGAAGATCACTCTGGATTATATTTGGAATGGGGATAGGAGTGGGAAGGAGAAGAGTGAATGCAAGGAGACTAGTTAAGAAATGATTACAAATGTTTAGGTAGGAGATAATGACCTAGCTTGTTGGCAGTAAGTATGGAGAACACAGAAAGTTTTGAGAAATATTTAGAAAGCAACATTGGCAGCCTTGGTTAACTATAAGTAGATTGCTTGGCAGTAATTTCAGAAAAGAAGAATATCATTCTCATCATGCCTGAGAGGTAGCAAGTTAAAGTGGGAAAAGCCTGGGTTGTAGAAAGAAAAGTATATTCAAATTTTAGGTCCTGCTGCTTATTAGCTGTGTGGGCTTGGACTTGTTATTTAACCTCTCTGAGCTTGAATTTGTTTGCAAGTAACCCATGTTAATGTCACTCTATAAACTGAAGTGTGTGAGAACTATCTTGACTTTCTTCAAATCAACCAACTGGCTCTGGTTCCCCATTTCATTTGACTTGTGGGGAATTCAATCTTTGTTATTCTTAGGGCTACCTCGGGTGTGGTTGTGCAAAAGTCTTGGAGTGTTACATAGTGCCAAGGCACCCAGGGAAGCCTTGGGTCATCAGATGAAGTATATCCTAGTTACCACCAAGCCATCCCTTGTTTCAGAGTCCAGGATCTGCCACTTTTGTACCTTACAGGGGAAAAGGGTATCTTTGGTGAAGTCCAGAGGTCATTTTCCAAGGGTCAGCCAAGGTCTCCCGGGTCCCTGAGCCACCCAGAAAATGAAATGCAGCTACCCAGTCCTTTCAGGCAAGGCTCAGAAAGAGGGATGATGTGTTACCAGGACAAACTACCTAGACTGCAGTCTGGAAGTGGGTCTAGGAGCCAAGCACCCTTGCAGGGGAACCCCATTTTTTTCCTACCAATCAGAACAAACTTTTGATGGTCCTTCTTGAAGGACTCACATACTTTCCATCTGGGGAAACTTTCCTGGCCATTGCATGGCATCTCAAAGGCACGTCCTTCTTTCAGTCCCCATGGGACACTCCGAAAGTGTCTGCATCGATGAGCTCACAATGAGGAGAACACCTTCTTGGGGTAACATGAGTAGATCCAGCGAAAAGTCTGACACGTTGTCACTCCCCTTCCCTTAAGAGTCTGGAAAGGTGATAAGTTTCAAGAAACAGAAGAAAAAAAAAAAGTTCAAGACAGAACAATGTACTCCAGATAGTATCTAGAAGGGCAGAGGGAAGTTATAACTCTGTCAGCCTCAGCTAAACACAATGGCCACGTGGACCTAGTGTTGTGGGAGAGAACCACAAGAACCAAGTGAACCTGTTGAGGCTGAGGCTCATTTCTACCAGTTGGGGAAGTAACAGTTGTTAAACGAGGAAGTTCAGTAAGGCCGGAGTCCAGGCAAACATAGGGTTAATCCACCAGGGGAACACCAGGAGCCAAGGTAGGGTAAGGAAGAAAGATGAGCACCTGTGTGTAATTTCTTTCCAGTAGGTATCATTCTCTTCCTACACTGCAATATCTAGGCCGTTTGCTCCACAGCGGTTTAAACCCAACAGGTACAGTTGGGGAAACAGTCTTTTCAGACTTGTTTTGAATTCGGGATGTTCTGGTCAGTTCTCAGGTCTTCCCCCCACCCCTGGGAAGCAGGTGGCGGGTGGGGAGTGCTGGAGAGGGAACTGCAATAGGGCCAGAGGGCTCCAACTGGGTGAGACCCGGGCCTGGGGAATTAACCTAGATGCAGGGCTGGCCTCTCTGCTCTAAGCTCCAGCCAGAACCAATCACTGTGGCAAGATGACATTTTAAAGCTGTTAACTTGTGTTCTTCCTGTTCCTCTCTCCACCTCTTCTCCATCCAGTGTTTTCCTTTTTTCTGTCTCTCTTTTCCCCAGTCAAACAAAAATCAGAAATATCATTAAGTCTCCCGACTTTGGTTTCCAAAACTCTAACCCCACTGAGATGAAGCTAAATGCCCCTGAGTGAAACAAACATCAAGAGAAAGATGGATGGCTAATAAACATGCATTTGTCTCAATAATCAGTGGTTTAATAAAGTGGAGTTTCTTTTTTTCTCACACAGCAGGAGTCCTGAGGTGGGGCTTTGTTCTCTGGGTTCAGTGGCTCTTTGATGTCAAGTTCTGAGTTCTGGGTTGGCAGCTCTTTTTTTCTGCCTTTCCATCTTGGCTGCAGCAGCCCCCAGTGTCCCATCCTCCCCCAACCATTTCAACAGGCAAGCAAGTTGGGTGCAACCAATGCTGTCAGTACCCTACCCTTACCCCCTTGGCATGTACCATGTTCATGGATGAGGGCCCAACTTCAAACTTGCTAGTGACCTATCCCATCCACACTCTCTGGCCACTGGAACCTCTGGGAACAGCAATCAAGCCAAAGCTGATGGGAACAGCTGAGTAAATCCTGCTCTTTGTGCTTGGGGAGGGGGGCTCACTTTGAAGTTATGTTCTACATTGCTTCCCAGTGGGACTATGCCTCAGTTACCTACACGGGAACTTGCTTTGATAATTCATCTTTTATTGGCTTCTTGCCTTTCCCAGTGTTACTTCCCCACTCCTCTACCAATGTTTCCTGGGAACATCTCCCAAACAAACTTCTGATGCTCAAAGGCTTGTTTTGGAGTCGACTTCTGGGGGAGCTCAAACTAGGAGAAGGGGTGAGTGAGGACAGCACCTGAAGCTCTCTCTTCCCGCGGCCCTGGCCCGGGACTGGGGAGGGTGGCTTGTCCCCATCCCGCCAAGCCCTCTGCAGACTCGCCTTACGACCTATTGGCCCAAACTGGATCACGTGGGCTCCCTTGTCCGAGAGGCCCGAGAGCCAGCACCTGGCAGAAGGTGGGTGAGGGCTTACCGCAGGGCTGGGCCTTGGTTGTGGCTTGCACCAATGTATCTGCTTGGATTAAGCTCAGTGACAAGGGACGGGAAACCCCAAACAAGAGTAGTTTAAATGAGATAGAAATGTATTTCCCTCTCTCACATAAAAATGGAGAGGCGGTCGCTGCCTGTTGGTTAGTGGACCAGACTTCTTTTTGCTCCACGAGGCACGGCTTCCAATGTCAACATCACCACGTGGTTTTCTGCGCAGCAGGCTCTGTACTCTCATATGCATTATTTCAGGTAATCCTCTTAATCCTGAGGTAAGTGCTCTTTTCCCCTCTGTTTTACAGGGAAGGAAGTGGAGATAGGGAGAAGTTAAGTTACTTGCTTGCTACTAGGTGGCAGAGCCCAGGGCATTCTGGGCCCAAAGTTTACGCTTTTTAAGCCACATTTTTAAGATAACATCTTCCTATCCAGGAACATGCTTATCTCTGCATTTATTTAGGTCTTCTTTAATTTCTTGTACATCTCTTATTAAACTTACTACTAGGCTCTCTACTTTGCTGGTTAACGGCATCATTTTGGAAATTAAGTTTTCTTTGTGGCTAGAATACCTAAATATAATTCATTTTTTGTTTATTGACTTTATATCCAGCCATCTTACTAAACTTATTAATTATACTTTGTCTGAAGAATCTTGAGTTTTCTAGCAAATATTTGTATCATCTGTGAATAAAACCAATTTTGTTTCTACCTTTTCACTCCTAATGCCTGTCTGTCTGTCTTCTCTCCATTCTTACTCTCTCTCTTCCCCTTCTGCATGCTTCCTTCCCTTCCTTCCTTGTCTTACTGCACTGGCTACAACCCCTAGTAAGTGCAGAATAGAGGTGATAAGAGAGCGTCGTTTTTTGTGGATACTGTTTATCTGGTTAAAGAAATTTCTCTCCATTCCTAGTTTGCCAAGAATTTTTCACAAATGCTTTTTCTACAATTATTGAGAATATATTATTTTTCTTTTTTTTAATCTATTAATGTAATGAATTACATTTATAAAACTTAATATTAGGGGGTACCTGGGTGGCTCAGTCGGTTAAGCATCTGCCTTCGGCTCAGGTCATGATCCAAGGATCGAGCCCCGCATTGGGCTCCCTGCTCAGCGAGGAGCCTGTTTTTCCCTCTCCCTCTGCTGCTCACCCTGCTTGTGCTCTCTCGCTCTCTCTGTCAAATAAATAAATAAAATCTTTAAAAATAAATAAATAAAACTTAATATTAGATGAAACTAGTATTCCAGGGATAAACTGAACTTAGTTACAGTGTATTATCTTTTCTATACCTTGCTGGATTCACTTTACTAATATTTTGTTTGGGATTTTGCACCTATCTTCAGGCATGAGACTGTGAATTTTCCTTCTTGTACCATCTGTCAGATCTAGTTTTGTTACCAAGGTGACACCAGCCTCACAGAGTGAATTGAGGAGTGTTTCTTCCTTTTGTATTCCTTGGAAGTCTTGTATTAAATTTGAATTATCTGTTCCTTGAAAGCTGAGTAAAATTTTCTTGTAGGTATGGTGATTTGTTTTACATTTTAAACATTGTCTTCACTTTTTGTTTTAAATAATTTCAGCTTATAGAAAAGTTGTAAGTACACTACAAAGAACTCCCTTATATTCTTTACCCAGATTTCCTAGTTATTAACATTTTATCATATTTGCCTTGTTATTCTCATTATAGTACATACATACTTTTCTGAACAACTTGAAAATATGGTGTAGATGTGAAGTTCCATTACCTCTTAATACCTTAGTGTATATTACCTAAAAACAAAAACACTCTCCTGCATAATCATATACAACCAACAAAATAAATGAACAGATCCTGTATTTTCATCTGTCCACAGACTACATTCAGATTTCACTGGCAGTCTCAATGATGTCCTTTACTGGTCCAGGATCCAATCCAAGTTCAGAATTATACCTAGTTGTTATGTCTCTTTATTCTTTTCAATCTGGAACAGTTTGTCTGTCTTTCATGACCTTGACATTTTTGAAAAGACCAGTCCGGTTACTTTGTAGGTTGTGCTGAAATTTGGGTTTGCCTGATAATCCTTCATAATTAGATTCAAGCTATACGTTGTTGGCAGAAAGAAACCACAAGCAGATGCTGTGTTTTTTTCAATGTAACATATCGGAAAGCACATAATGTCGATCTGTTCCAATCCTAGTGACATTACCTTTTATCATTTGATTAAGCTAATGTCTTCCATGTTTTCCCACTGTTAAGTTAGTTAGTATTTTGTACTATCAATTAATAAGTAATCAATGACTATTTTTATGAAGAGATACTTAAACTACATAAATATCTTGTTCTCCATTCAACTTTCATCCATACATTTTAGGATTTATTGATGATTCTTGTCTAAATCATTTATTACTGTTATGGTGGTTGTCACTTGGTGGATTTTCTAATTCTGTCATTCCCTCCACATTTGTTTGTTGGCATACTACTAAAAGGTAGAGCTTTACTTTCTCTCCCATTTGTTTATCTATTCAATTATTTGTATCACAATAGACTCATGGATTTTTATTTTATTCAATACGTTATAGTCCGATGCAATGGCTTACATAAATCAAAATTATTTTTATAGCACAAATTATTCCATATTTGACAGTGAGAACCTCCTAATACTGGCTTTATGCCCTTTTGACATGCCCCAATAGTTCTTTGAGCACTTCATTGCTTTTTGGCACAATAGGATGTTCCAGATACATTTCTAGTTTCTCTATCCCAACCCTGGAATCAGTCATTTCTCATGGAGAATGGAGAGGACAGAACTTTCCAGTGACGATAGGCATGTCCTCTGTACATTGTGTTCCTTTTCTTCCCAGAGGACAGAACTACTGACCAAAGGCTTCCTTGAAAAATGGAGTCAAGGTATGGTTGTGAGGGTGAGGGGGTATCAGACTGAAGATGTATTTATTTAATCCATGAAGTGGGGGCACACGGCTGGTGGGAATACAGATTGGTATGCCTTGGAGGTAAATTAAACTTTAAATCTATTAAACATTCAAATGCACATACCCGGGACACCTGGGTGGCTCAGTCGTTAAGCGTCTGCCTTTGGCTCAGGTCATGATCCCAGGGTCCCGGGATCCAGCCCCGCATCGGGCTCCCTGCTCAGAGGAGAGCCTGCTTCTCTCTCTCCCACTCCCCCTGCTTGTGCTTGCTCTCTCTCTCTCTCTCTCTCTCTCTGTCAAATAAATAAATAAAATTTTTAAAAAAATGCACATACCCTTTGATATAATAATTTCACATCTAGGAATATAATGTGGCTTTCACTTGTGCAAGGAACTTATATCCAAGGATATTAATTGTAGCATTGTTTAGAAACAATCTAAATGTCCATTACCAAGGGACTGGTTAAATAAAGAAACGGAATATCAGCTGATAAGAAAGAATGAGTTAGTTATAAACCAAAAAAGAATGACTTCCAAGGTGAATTTTTAACCACTTGTTTAAAAGTTATACACCAGGGACACCTGGGTGGCTCAGTCAGTTAAGCATCTGCCTTCGGCTCAGATCATGATACCACAGTCCTGGGATTGAGTTCCACATTGGGCACCCTGCTCAGCAGGGAGCCTGCTTCTCCTTCTCCCTCTGCCCCCCACTCATGCTTGCTCTCTGTCTCTAATTCTCTCTCTCTCAAATAAATAAAACTCTAAAGAAAAGTTATACAGAGGAGCGCCTGGGTGGCTCAGGCCTTAAGCGTCTGCCATCAGCTCAGGTCATGATCCCAGGGTCCGGGGATCGAGCCCCACATCAGGCTCCCTGCTCCGCGGGAAGCCTGCTTCTCCCTCTCCACTCCCCCTGCTTGTGTTCCCTTTCTTGCTGTCTCTCTCTCTCTGTGTGTGTTAAATAAATAAATAAAATCTTAAAAAAAAAAAGTTATACAGAAAACTATCCGTATATATATGTATCCCTCCCAGGAAGGACATATAAGAAATGGTAATAGTGGGCAGCTGTGAATAAACCACTTGGGTCCAGCCCTACTGCTGAGGGGGCTACACCGGCTCAGGAGGCAGGGAGATGAAATCTGCTTAGCATCACCTGTGATAGACAATAATGCACAGTCCTTCCACCCTTATCTCTTTGTGTCTAGAAAATTCCACCCTGGGCGCCTGGGTGGCTCAGTTGGTTAAGCGACTGCCTTCGGCTCAGGTCATGATCCTGGAGTCCCGGGATCGAGTCCCACATCGGGCTCCCTGCTCGGCGGGGAGTCTGCTTCTCCCTCTGATCCTCCTCCCTCTCATGCTCTCTGTCTCTCATTCTCTCTCTCGCAAATAAATAAAATCTTTAAAAAAAAAAAGAAAAAAGAAAATTCCACCCTACTACCATGAAAAGAATTTAGAACAGCATGATTAGATTAGGCAAACAGGCTGGGAAGTCAGGCTGTCTGGGTTTGAATTCCAGGTCCACTGCTCATAAATCATGCAACCTTGGGGCAACTTCTCCGTGATACAGTGTTGTCTAGAAAATGAGGATGATAAACAGAACATATTCAGAGAGTTCTAGGGGATTTGAGTGAGTAAATATATGTAGGAAATCTAGTTTCTGGAACATAGTAACCACTAAAAAAAAGTGAGCTATTAGTATTAGTATTATTAGGCCCAGTGAGGAAAGGAGAACAGTCTCTAACTCTGGCAATCTTTTTTTTAAAATTAATTTATTTTTATTATGGTCAATTAGATAACTCTGGCAGTCTTAAGGGCACTTGCTTTTCACTGTATAAACATAGTAATTTATTGTCGTTGTTGTTGTTGTTGTTATATCACAAGCATGATTTCCTCCAGGGGAAAAAGAATTATTCTGCTGAATTTAAAAAAAAAAAAGAAGAAGAAGAAGAAGAAAGAAAATCTAGTTATGGTAGATTCAGATGAGCTCCTGAGCTCTACCTGAAGGTACACTGGGGGCAGATCATTCATTCACTCATGAGCATTAGGGCCAGGTTCCCTCTCCCCTCCCTAGAACTGATTAAATGCACCCAAATTTATCATGCATGTCACCCCCTTTTTGTTAATTCTGTCTGAAAGCACAATATAGGTGATTAAGTTTGACCTTTCTTAGAGCTACATCAGGCCAATGTCCTGAGATTTCATCCGGATGATCTTAATTGGATTTTCACTGCCCTGCACACTGCAATCCCATCTTCACAGCCCGCTTCAGACCCCAGCACTTCTCACCTGGTCTCCCTGACTCCAGCCTCTTTCCTCAACTCTAGCTCTCACATTGATGAGGAAAATTCTTTTCTGCTCAAAAGTTTCGTTGGCTTTCTCAATTGCATATAGAATTAAGTACTAATTAAAAGCAAAATAAAATAACAACAAATTGAGGTTTTTGTTTGATGCGCTGGTAAGAATTAAAAGGGAAAAAAGTGCCCATTTGGGTATTGATACTGAGAAACAAGAATTCTCATACACTGTTAGTGAGATTAACCATCTCTTCCGGGGATAAATCGGGGAATATGGATTAGCATTTTAATGTGCATGTCCTTTGCCTCAGCATCTCCCTTTCTGGGAATTTAACTTAAAATAATCTAAGTACACAAAGATGGTTGTACAAGGATTGAATGTAGCTTTAAATGCTAATGGCAGAGGATTGGTTACTTCTTTATGATGTATTATACAACAGAATACTATGCACCCATTAAAATGATTATACAGATTTATATTTATTGACGTGGAAAAATATCTATTGTATAAAACAATGTGTGGCACATGGTAGATGTTCAATAAATGTTTATTGAATGAATGACTGAAATAGGTAAAAAAAAGAAGTTATAAAACAGTATGGGGTGCCTGGGTAGCTCAGTCTTTAAGTGTCTGCCTTCAGCTCAGGTCATGATCCTGGGGTCCAGGGATCAAGCCCCACATCTGGCTCCCTGCTCAGCGGGAAGCCTGCTTCTCCCTCTCCCACTCCCCCTGCTTGTGTTCCCTCTCTCGCTGTCTCTCTCTCTGTGTCAAATAAATAAATAAATAAAATCTTTACAAAAAAAAAGTATACATGCTCCTATTTTTTGTTTTTAAAAATATGTGTATCTTGATGTTATATTAAATATATACATTAATCTCTCTTTTCTATAATTTACCTATCTCTACCTTACTATCTGAAAATACCCTGGAAAGATATTGACAAAACATGGAGAGTATTGTTGGGAGGACAGGTTGTTCTTGTTGTTGTTTTTTTTAAAAGATTTTACTTTTAAGTAATTTCTATACCCAGCATGGGGCTCAAACCCACAACCCTGAGATCAGGAGTTGCATGCTCTACCAGCAGAGCCAGCCCTGCGCCCTGAGGACAGGGTGTTCACTTTCTACTGATTGGACTTTGGTATGGCCTAAGGTTTTTTAAATAATGTATATTAATTTTTGATTTATTTCTATGGTGAAAGAACAAAACTATATATAGTGTGTGGAATTTACAAATAAATAGGATTTCACTTGGATGATGGAAGTATAAATTCCTATCATCTTTATATGGATAATTTGACATTGTGTTTCAAAATTCTTGAAAATGTACATACCACCTGACAAGAAAAATACTTTTTTCAACAGAAGAGAAAAATACTTTTAAGATTCAAAAAACAAAGAAGCCAGTGTAGATAGATAAGAATGAACTCAGAGTAGACAGACACTACCCTTCTCTTTCCTCCCCCCACCCTCCCAGCCCTGGGCAGAGAGAGTGAGATTTAACTTCTACCCCGAGATGGAAGGGGCTTGAAAAAAAATAGTAAGTTTAATTATATAGAAGAATTGAAAAAGTTGTAATTCTTGCACAACTGAGTTTGTATCTAATATGATTGATTCTAAGTGTTAAAAAAGAACGCATGAAAAAGATTGAAGACTATATATCAAAATATTTACATAGTGAATTTTAAAAAATGTGTGCATTTCTTTGATTTCTTTTCTAGCATGAATAAGAATTACCTTTGGACTTGAAAAAAAAATAGTTCTGTTAGGAATGCTTCTGAGCATGACTTGTCCTGCTTTGCCTTTAATAACATACTGTAAATGCTGTTCCACTTTGCTCCGACTGTGAAAGTGTTTGTAATCGTAGCTGTTGACTTTGCCGAGCTGATCTTTTTTACTTTGCATTAAATCTAGTTTCCTGGGGGTGCTTGGGTGGCTCAGTCGTTAAGCGTCTGCCTTCGGCTCAGGTCATGATCCCGGCGTCCTGGGATCGAGCCCTGCATCGGGCTCCCTGCTTGGCGGGAAATCTACTTCTCCCTCTCCCACTCCCCCTGCTTGTGTTCCCCCTCCCTCTGTGTCTCTCTCTGTCAAATAAATAAATAAAATCTTTACAAAAAAATAAATCTAGTTTCTTGGGGATCTTTCTCTCATTTATGCTTGTGTTTTCCTGTGTTCCCACGGTGAAGGCACAAGTCAGCTCTAGAACCCGTTGTCATGGATATAGCTGACCCTGAGTTGGTCTAAAAGTACGTGATGGCAAGATAATGCAACTATGTAGTTTCTGAGACAAAGTAGTCCTCTCTTTAAAAAATTAAGTCAGTGGGAAAAAGAGTGACAATGGTTTCCACAGAATGTGTTATACTTTCATGGTTCTTTATTCGGTCACATGGCTATGAGGAGAGATGTCAGGTGGGATGAAGTTCACACCTGGAGGTGACTCAGAGCCCTAGACTAAATTCCGATCTGACTTCTGTCACTCGTCCCTTGTCCACTGTGTCCGAGGCCATTGGAGTCCCTTCCAAAAGGACTTAACAACAGTGACCTGGTAAGGCCTCCCAGTGCTCAGAGTGATGCCCTAAATCTAGCTTTCAAAATCTTTTGCAGGCAGGTTCTTCTGTCTTCCTCAGAGTATTCTATATTCTGGAAACAATAAGGTATTTAATGTACAGACAATGAAATCAAGGGGATAGGTTAAAAGTTGACCAAGGTCACTCAGGTGGGTTGTGAGACAACAGAGATCCGAACCCGGAATTTCCAGCCCCCGGAACACTCATCACTACGGGACAGATACATAAGCAACAGTAGTTCGTGAAGTGCCTCCCGTGAGCAGGCACTGCGACAGGTGCTCGTTTGATGGGGTTTTTAATTTCTCCACAACCATGAAAGTCCGAGGGAAAGTTATTATTCCCATTAAACAGATGGTAAATGCGAGGCACAAAAAGCATTTGTGCCTTCCTCATAGGCCATAGTTGGTAAAGGGCAGATCTCAGGGACACCCAGGACCTCGGGTTTTATGTCAAATATTTTTGGATGGATTTTGAAAAAACTTTGAACATTAACGTTATTCTTTTTTTTTTTGGTAAAGATTTTATTTATTTATTTGATAGAGAGAGACACAGTGAGAGAGGGAACACAAGCAGGGGGCGTGGGAGAGAGAGAACAGGTATCCATGGAGCAAGGAGCCTGATGCAGGGCTCGATCCCAGGACCCCGGGTTCATGACCTGAGCCGAAGGCAGACACTTAACGACTGAGCCACCCAGGTGCCCCTAACATTAACATTATTCTTAAAATGGTATCGTCTTTTTTTTTTTTTTTTTTGATGGTATCGTCCGAAGGTCAGTATGGTGGTTACCTCTGGGGTGGGAGTGAGGATTGACTGGAAATGGGCATGAATGAACTCTTTAAGAAGGTAATGTTCTCTCTCTTGATCTGGATGATAGTCCTATACTTATATCCATATGTAAAAAGTCATTAAGATTTATGCATTTTATCGTATGTAAAGTATATCTCAGTAAGGTACTATAAAAAATATCACTTCTTGTCCTACCCTGATGCAAGTATGTGATGTGTTCTTTTCCACTTATTTTGAAACACTTATCCATGTTGTTTCATAATGTGCATATTTGTCACTTTAAAATGATGATGA